CAGCTCAGTCCAGGCAAAAAGAGTTATGTCAACCGTAAGGTTCATGATGTGGCATTCATGGTCGGCGAGTGGGTGTTGCTTCAGGTGTCGCCTATGAAGGGCGTAATGAGATTTGGGAAGAGGGGCAAGCTTAGCCCTAGGTTCATTGGCCCGTTTGAGATTATTGATCGAGTGGGAGAGGTGGCTTATAGACTTGCGTTGTCGCCGAGCTTATCAGCCGTGCATCCAGTGTTTCATGTGTCCATGCTTTAGAAGTATCACGGCGATCCATCCACATGTTAGATTTNAAGTTTATCAGTCGTGCATCCAGTGTTTGATGTGTCTATGCTTCGAAAGTATCACGACGATCCATCCCACGTGTTAGACTTTAGCACTGTCCAGTTAGACAAGGACTTGTCCTATGAGGAGGAGCCGGTAGCTATTCTAGACCGACAGGTTCGTTAGTTGAGATTGAAGAGTATCCTTCTGTTCGTGTTCAGTTGAGAGGCCAGTATGCCGAGGCAGCTAACTGGGAGTTCGAGTCCGATATGCGGAGCCGATATCCCCATCTTTTTTCCGACTCAGGTACTTTTCTTATGTCAGTTTGAGGACGAACTGTTATTTTAGAAGTGCCTTAAAAGCCTCTTTTTGTCTCACCTTGATTTGTGTGCGCAGTCCGGGCACTTTTCTGGAAAGTTTTTATGTGAAATCTAAGAAAAATAAGGAAATTGGCTTTTAAAATTGATTAAAGTTGACTTTGGTCAACGTTCTTGGTAAACGGACCCGGACCCATGATCCGACAGTCTCGTAGGATCCGTAGTAAAATATGGGACTTGGGCGTACGCCCGAAATCGAATTCCGAGGTCCCAAGCCCGAGAAATAAATTTTTGAAAGAAATTGTTTAACTGAAATTTAAGAGATTTTAGAAATGTAAAGATGCTTGAAATTGATGGTATCGGGCTCGTATTTTGGTTTCGGAGCGCAATCCAGGTCTTATATAATAATTAAGTTGAATCTTTGAATTTTGGTAAGAATCGGAGTTCGTTTAGTATAAATTGGACCTTTATTTGAGAAAATGAAAATTTTGATGTTCTTGAGTGATTTCATGAATTTGAGGTTTAATTCATCGTTATTGATGTTATTTTGATGATTGGATCATACGAGCAAGTCTGTATGATGTTAATAGACTTGCGTACATGTTTGGTTTGGAGCCTCGAGGGCTCGGGTGAGTTTAGCATAGGACGCGGAGTGTTTTGACCTCAGGAGCAGCAGCTGATGTGTTGCAGGTCTGCAGGCTTCGCATTTGCGAAGCCTAGCTCGCAAATGCAAGCTCGCATTTAAGACTAGCGTCGCATTTGCGATGACTGGGCAGGGGGGGACCTTCGCATTTGCAAAGCTCCATGTCGCAAAAGCGACTCCAACGGTGATCGCAATTGCGAATGATGGTTCGTATTTGGTAGTTAACATGGCAGACCTACCTTCGCATTTGCGAAGCCTGAGCCTCAATTGTGAGTTCGCATTTGCGAACCTGACGATGTGAACTCTGACATCGCAAATGCGATATCTGCACCTGTGTAAAATCAAACTTAGACGAAATTTTCTTTCATTTTTCAAACTTCTGCCAACCCTAAGCTCTCTTGGGCGATTTTCCAAGGAAAGGTTCTTCTCCTAATCATAGGTAAACAACTTCTAACTTATCTTCTTCAATCTATAACATCCTTTTACATGATTTCAATTCAAAATCAAGGGTTTTCATGGGGAAATTGGGTGTTTTTGGGTAGAACTTAGGATTTTCGATTTTTGGGGATTTGGACCTCGATTTGAGGTACGATTTCAAAAAAAATTATATATTTGAGTTCGTGGATGAATGTGTAATCGGGTTTTGACCATGTGGGCCTGGGGTCAATTTTTGACTTTTTGGGAAAATCATTAGAAAACCTATTTTCATGCATTAGAATTGATTAATTTAGCATTTATTGATATCGTTAAGTAAATTGTGGCTAGATACAAGCAAATTGGTGGTGGAATCGAGGGATAAAGCGGTAGTTGAGGCTTGATTGTGTTTGTGGCATTGAGGTAAGTGTTTGGTCTAACCTTAGCTTGAGGAATTATGAGTTGTGTCTTATTTACTATGTGTTAATTGTTGAGTACAACGTATAGGTGTGGTGATGAGTATTTATACGTCGGTGTCAAACATGCCCATGAGTCTTATACTATGATTGATGTGACTCCGTTTTGTATTGTCCATGCTTTATATGATGATTTCTAATGTTGAACAAGGCTTGTGGTAGTATTCTTGGTAATTGAACATTGTAGAGCGTTGAATCAAGTTAAGAATTGAGTTGTAAAATAATTATGGAAAAAAGAAGAGGTTTATGATATTGTCTCCCTTCGGGATATTATTGCTCTTGATATTGTTTCCCTTGCTGGGATATTATTGCTATACTATTATTTCCCTTGCCGGGATATTATTGTTATACTATTGTTCCCTTGCCGGGATTCTATTGTATTTTATTGATTCCCTTGCCCGAATTTCTTTTTGATTGTTGCTTGGGTAAGGATGAGTGTAAAAGCACAAAGGGTGATGTCGTACGTGATATTTGTGAGAGAGTGTTAATGCATGAAGGGTGATGTCGTGCGGATATTGTAAATGTAAAAGCACGAAGGGTGATGTCGTGTCATGATATGAGTGATAATGCACGAAGGATAATGTCATACCATGATTATGTGAGGTAAAAGCACGAAGGGTGATGTTGTGCCGAATATATTGATTCTTATGGTGAGAACGAGAGTAAAAGCACGAAGGGTGATGCCGTGCACTTGTCATTGATATCCTTATTCTTTCTTATAGTTGAATTTTGGTATTCCGTCTGCTTCTTTACTGAATTCCTGTTTGTACATGATATTCCCCAAGCATGTTTCCCCTTCTCATCTTTAATTGCTAGTTTCTGTTGTTATTACTTGCTGTATATGATATAACTACACAGATTTATTTGGTAGTCTTGTCCTAGCCTCGTCACTACTTCGCCGAGGTTAGGCTAGACACTTACCAGCACATGAGGTCGGTTGTGCTGATACTACACTCTGCACTGTGTGCAGATCCCGGTGCTGGAGCTTTTGGACCACAGTGAGGTTGTTGCCTTCAGTCCATCAAGAGACCCGAGGTAGTCCTGCAGGCGTCCGCAGGCCTTGGCGTCCCCTTCCTATCTAGTTTTTCTTCTGTTCTTTATTATTTTAGAGACAGACATGTATCTATTTTGTTCGGACCCTATTTGTAGTATTCGTAGATAGTCTGTGAAATTGTGACACCAGTTCCGGGTGGCTTATGTTTATGGATTCGTATAGGTGTTATTTTAAATTGTTATATTTCATTCTTCCGCTTTATTATTTCTGGTATTTATAAAATGTTAACTCACAATTGTTAAGGGATTAAAAATGAAAAGGGTAAAATAATTGAAATAATTGGCTTGCCTAATTTTTACTAGTAGGCGCAATCACGACCCCCGAGGGTGGAAAATCCAGATCGTGATAGTTGGGCATGACATCATTTGTACAATCGTCATTTTACCTATGTTTTTAAATTATTTGCATGTCTTGCCGAATTGACAAAACTTACAAGTGTTATTCAATCGTTCAAAAACTATAATACTTGGTACTATTTTCATTATACATATCGTGTTAGATTGTTAATAAGTCTGGCCTAATTCACTCACATATATATNTCTTCTTTCTACCTATCTTGTTAAATTATTCTAAGTCTCGTGGGATGGACGAAATCTACCTATATTGTTCAAGTGTTTACAAGTTTTGGAACTAGCGCAACTTGGTAGTTTCTTCATCCTATTAATCTTTTTAAATTATTCACAAATCTTGCATATTTTGCTGAATTTTTAGTAAAGCCACCTTCAACATATGTTAAATTTTACCTATTTTGTTAAATTATTCATGAATCTTGTCGGATTAGCAAATCTTCCATATGTTATTTATTTTTAAATGTAAGGTCATCCGAAATGTATGTAGCAAATTATTTTGCTAAAGTTGGACTTGTTGGCATTTTTTAAAGAAGACCTCTTATGTCAAACACTATAATAATGAGA